TTGGCCAGTTTTACACTTGTAGGTAATCCATTCCACAGCTGCGCACACATACAAGTGAAAGATTTTTTCATAAAGCATGGAGGGATATAGGGACAACAAGTCTGTTTTCAAGTCTCTTTTATCCTTATCAAATAAACGTACGTCAAAGCTCTGTTTCACATTCTGCTGTTTCTCAAAAAAAGAAATTAGTGCCCTGTTTCGAATAAGTGTCCTCCTAAGAGATAACAAAAGTAAATAGGCGCCCCGGGCGCTCAATGGTATTTTTACCGTAAACATTGCAAGGAACATATCGGTGACCTAAAATAAAACTAAGTAAGAAGTTTTATGAAGAAATCGCTGCTAACGTTAGGATAAACAGTAAAGTTGGGGAAGAAAGGGTGCACCACCCTCTTTCGTGAATTATCGATATACGTGCTCTCCCAACGGTTTGGAAGTCAGTAGAAGTTGTTTACACGTGCAATCACCTTGAAAGAATTGACAAAAGAAAATCAAACGCATACGAGAACGATCTTCGAAGTGAGGAGCACTATTTAAGCAATAGTGAAATAAGACCTGAAAAAAATTCAGGCCTGTAAGCGATTCGAACCTACGACCTCTGCGATCCCGGTGCAGTGCCCTACCAACTGAGCTAAAAAGCCAACTGGGATCTGATATTGATGGGGATTCGTAATAAACCCGTGAGATGATGAGTCAAATGCTAAGAATATATGAAAATCATATAAATATAACTATTAGTCACAGTAACCGAACAGCAGCTCAACTCTGAATTCACGATAGCGGGAAAAGATACGCGTTAATCGGGCGTAAAATCAATTTGATACCAATTTAGCCTTTTAACACTACTCTATCCAGATGAAATCGACTTACTTAATAAATGGAAGGTCTTTTTTGTTATTATTCTTTCAGTTTATTATTATTCTTTCAAGTGCAATTTAATTAGGGTACATATATAAATGTTGTGCCCCGTAGCACTAAGAACACAAATCATGGAACAGAGATTAACTCTGAGCGTAAATTCAAGTGCTAAATGAAACCACTGAAAAACCCACTGAGCGTTAGCCTCAGTAAAGGGTATCAGGGAACCACACGAGGTAAAGAAAAAGTTATTGCGACCTCGGTGGGAATCGAACCCACGACCTCCGGATCAGATCTACCTTTGCTCTGCCGACTAAGCTACGAGGTCGGACAGAGAAAGTCGGGGTCGATAAAGAGTCGGCAGAGCAACGGTAGATCTAATCTGGAGGTCGTGGGTCCGATTCCCACCAAGGTCACAAGAATTTTTTCTTTGCCTCGTGTGGTTCACTGATACCCTTTACTAGGACTAATGCTCAGTGGGTTTTTCATGGGTTTCATTCAGCATTTTGATTTACGCTCAGAGTTAATTTTCTGTTCCAGCAATTTAAATAGCTTTCCTAGCCTCGTCATCATGTACAACAAACGATAGAATTGCTACTCAAACGCGAGGCTTATTTCCATGCGCATAATTGAAGATAGCATACAAGCGTGCCATTACGAAATGGGTCTATCCCAGTCCACTTCTCGAAGAGGAAAAAAATAGAAGAAGAAAAAAAAAACAAAAAGCACTTGCAAAAAGATTTCATTATCGCGTCGCTTTTCTTTGGTGACTGGAAACTTGCATAACTCCGTTCAGTTCCTCCGGTTTTGATCTCGAATCACTTAAAAAATTAAGCGATTCTGCCTGATCCTATCCTACGTAATTTCGTATCTAAACCGTGGCCGATCCCCATCATCTTATCAGAAGTTTTAGGCTGATAAGCTCAAACATATCAGTAGATATTCAAGAGGCAGTAGAAAGTTGATATTGATACACGGTAAAGGTGAATGAAATACGTCAGCAATTGTTCTTAAAAGAGAACACGTATATATTTGATGCTTACGTTTCTTGTTCAGTTTTTGGCAGTAAAATAACATTGTCGGATTTTATTCTCCTTCATAACTACAGTAAGAGACCTATCTAATATTGAAATGACACCCAGGCATCTAAGTATGTTCCTATTATATCAGTTTCCTAAAACAAATCGCAACCATCCAATCAGGCTGGTGAACATCTCACTACATTTATTACTTGGCGTGTTACTCTGCAGGTAAAATAGATCGACCAAAACAGCGCATGTAATTACTTTTGTGTTTCACTATAGGGTTCAGTTTGACTAAACAAGAAGGAAAACAGACGCACTACTAAACCTACGATTGTAATTTTATTTTCAAAATAATAAAAAAAATTAATAATCTGAATAATAATTCGAATACATATTTAACATTTCATACTGAATCCTGGCAACAAACGGATACTATGAAAACTTTCTTTTATATTTCCAGCGTAAAATTCGCACCAAACTTACATCATGAATTCATTTTATCTTTCCCTAAAGCTTTTATTACCGACTAATATTGACGCCCTTACATTTGAACAGTTTGTATAGTTTTATATTTTGACCCTCTATTTTCCAACAGACCCTTGTGTCAGTTTACTTAGCTGTTGATAGACAATAAAAAATTTTTAAAAATGATTCATATGCAGAGTAACACAATTTTTGTTGAATTATGATATCTAAAACTAATTTAAAACTCAGCTTGTATCATAAATGAAAACGATTCCATTCGGATGAAAGCATCTATGTTTATGAAAAAATTTCCATGCCTGGAGTGTTAATTGTCGCAGGTTTTTGTTAACCATACTGAAACACATTATAGCTCTTTAGATACACGTAAAGAAAGACGAACTGACCCTCTTTGTAATATGTGTTAGCACTGTGATTCATTGAATTTACCACGCGATCGCAAGCAGTTACTTTCTTGTTTCCTCTCTTTTTAAACATCGTTCCAGCTGAATCTTGGCCCTTTTTTATTATTTCTGAAGACCGAGACGAGACCGTTTCCTGGTTATCCTCTGACCGAACCGTTGTTGAACAGTTTCAAAGCGGGTTACCTTTATTAGCTAATAAAGAAGCCCGAACCAGCACTTTACGTAAATTTGATCTGTTGTTCTCGAATCTGTTGGGAAAGCCATTCCAAACCCTCGTAGAGACCTTTCCCCTTAAGGGCGCACGTGGCCTGAATGTACCAGTTTCTTCCCTTGAGACTGTGAAGTCCTAATCTATCGCTTAACTCCGCGGTAGACATGGCGTTGGGTAAATCTTGCTTATTTGCAAAGATCAAAAGAACAGCGTCCTGAAGTTCGTCCTCGGCTAGAAGACGGAACAACTCATTTTTTGCTTCCGCGACGCGATTCCTGTCGCTGCTATCTACAACAAAAATAAGTCCCTGGGTTTCTTGGTAATACAGCCTCCACAGAACACGGATTTTGTCTTGCCCTCCGATGTCCCACACAGTAAAACTGATGTTTTTGTATTCGACTGTCTCGACGTTGAATCCAATCGTCGGTATCGTGGTGACAGGTTCGTCGAGTTTCAACTGATATAAAATCGTCGTTTTTCCGGCTGCATCCAATCCGACCATTAATATTCGGACTTCCTCTTTGCCAAAGAGCCGTTTGAACAATCTGGTCAGAGTGTTTCCCATGGCGTATTTTTCCCAAGCTGATCAATTTTCTTAACTTCGTCTCGCGCGGGTAAAGATCACGTCTTGAACACCAAATGTCCATCAATGAATATTTCATTGTGAACCTGCAACGAGGCTGAAATTGCGCTTGCGCGGATGACGTCACCTGTCCCTTTTCTGGACTGTTTGTCAACACAGTTAGCGGTGAAATCAAAATTTGACGTTTTCAGAAATGGAATTTTTCACATAGCTGGTTTCTCATAGCCTTTTCCTCTTTCAGTTTGCAATAAGTAATTTTTTCCGTTGACCGCGCGACGGGTTTTGAATATTTGGATCGGACACCAGCTTACTAAACTGTCTTGTACCCTAGCAAATTTTAACTTCGCAGAAATTCTCCTCGCCAATTCTGCGTTTCACAGCAACATTTTAAAAGTGTTTATTTTTCTGTCCTTTCAGATGAATCTGCCGATAGCAAGAAAGAACCCAAGCTAGAAGAGAAAACGATCCCGGGGGAAGATCATTTAGTAATGCTAGAAAGAGTCCGCAAGGAGTCTGAAGAGAATAGAAAATTTTGGCAAGAAGAAGCGATGGCCATGAACAAATGGAGAAGACACTGGCTCGGCTAAAAAAAAACAACTAAGAAAAAAAAGACTTATTATTTTCTTTACCTCAAATAGCTTTAGCAATAAGGTGGCGGAAAAATGTGATTTCTAGTGTTGATATGATCTCAAATAGGGTTCACCTCCATGATATTGTGATTAATTGAAAATAAAACTTGAATGCTTTAAGAGATGTTCAAAACCGACACTGATGCAAAACCGATAGATCATTGGGAACCTGAAGCATACTACAAAGGTTACCAGGTTACAAGCCTTTGTGAGACCTCAGTAATAAATACTCGAATGATAAAGAAATAAACTATTTTTATCTGTTTCGTCTTAAACCCAGTCGCTCAGTGCTAGTATACGTAAATTTTCTTTCTGTTATAGACTCAATATGAGTTTATTAGCTACTCAATCAACTGTTTTTAAACCTCTTCCTTTTTTGTCTGATCTATCATGGCGGATTGCGAAAAGAGAGTTTGAATGCAAATCAGTTTGGAGACAAACAAGGTACGTTTTGCCTGCTATAGTGAGCTGAACATGAGCGCGAATAAGTCATTTTCCCTAGAATATTGACAATCATAAGTAATCCCCGTCTGAAATGTCGATCTGCTCAAAGGAAACTTTCACTGATCGAAAAGTCTTCGTTAATCTATTAAAAAATGATCCTTACGGTAAAAAATTGTCCGCATTTTTTTTTTTTTTTTTAAATGTGAGTTAAGAACTTGGAAATCAGTATGCATATTCGCCATACTGTTTTCTATATATTTCCTGAGGCGCAGTCAAGGAGAATTTTTAAGCAATCAAGAGCTTCTTCATTGGTGATCATTCAAATGTTTGAAGTACACCGGCGCTCCATCAGCTAATCATTGGCTACAAACGTCAAAAGCTTATTCACTTGTTTATTGCGGTAGAACTCGTCTAAACTTGTAATTTGGTTATATCAACTACAGTAGAACCCCGTTAATACGACCACCAACGGGCCAAAATATTAAAAGTGGTCGTATTAACGAGATGGTCGTATTACCGGGGTAGGGTTATATTTTATAGCTGACGTGTTGATGATGACGTGTATTTCAAGCTTATCAAAGTTTCACCTTCAAACAACTGTTCTCAAGCATGTACATTGCATTCAAATAATAAAATATAACTTAATTGAAACAGAGCTATCTTGACAAGAGCGACTAAAACCAAACAAACGGGAACGAACTGCCGCACTTACTGTATTTACAAAACTAAGATGACGTGCAAAGAGCAGACTTCCGTTTCATTTATGAAGATGAGTTTTGGAAAAAATCTGTAACTCTTGACTTGCTTGTCCTGCGCTCAAGCCAGTCACTTTGCTTTGTTTTAATTATTGTATAACAATATGACATGTAAGAGACATATACTTACGATATATTTCCTATTGCCACTTATCTGTATTAGTGGTCGTATCAACGAAATATGCACGTTGGGAATTAAAAAAGTAGTCGTTGGTCGCATTAACGGGGTGTCTTTATAAGAAAATGTATGGAAATTTTGCAGGGTCAAAAAATAGTGGTTTTACTAACAAATAAAATAAATAAAATGAATAAATACGTAGATTGAAGCTCCCCCTTAGGGGCCTTTCAGCCACAATGTAAACAAACTAAGTGCTTAAAAATCCCCACTGGCAGGAGGGAGACCAGTGGGCTATTTACAGAGCGCAGCCGAGGAGTTGAACTAGGGGAAACCGAAAACAAATCCAGTGAGTGGCAGGGTGGAGGACTTGAACCTGGGCCACCAGATTACAAGTCCAGCACTCGGCCACGCTGCCTCCGGTGGTTATATTAACGAGGTGGTCGTAAGGCGGGGTTTTACTGTAAGTTGAAGAGCCAATAACGAAGGGCTAACGCTCGAAACGTCAGCTTTTAAACTCTTTACGGTGGCCAATTTACAATTTCAACTTAGTTGATATAACCAAATTACCTTGTCACCCTCACCGACGCAGCACCATAGTTGCTTTAGAAATTTACCCCCTTTATTCACTCGTCTAAAATTGCTACTTCGATGGGTCATCGCAAATAATAACCCGTGTTGTTTTCTTCTTTTTCTGTCTTTGTTTTTCGAGTTCATTCTTGTACTTTGTAGTTCTGAGTCAACATTAAATTTATCATTTTCCACGGAGAACCAGAGCGACTGTAGGTAACGACCAATGCACCCCACTTAAAAACCTGCAGGTCTTGTTTGTACAGATATCGACTGTTTTCATGTATTTTATGCAAAAAATGCCCCTGATGACATCTTTTCGTGGTTTAACAGTGTATTTCTAGCCCTAAAGCCACTCCTGGTGAAGTTTGGTACAGCAATCGTCGTTCAATCTCGTACCAGCAAGCATAACAGTTTTGCATTCGTCGCGTGCAACTTCGGACGTTATCGTCGCGTGACTTTTGACTTCTGGACGTGCATGCATGTAGCAGTCTATGGCAGTCACGCAACACTATCGTTGGGAACAATACTCTACATTGAAATTATACTCGTCCTGCTTTAGTCCCATACTTTTAAGCGTGAGGTAGATGGTTTCTTGGAGAAGGTATTTTCCTGCCCAAACCAACCATCATTAGATATTCTCAAGTAGTTCAGTAAGCTTTAATTCTCGATCATTGTTGTTAGCCTTCGCATATCGATCGGTTGACTAGCAGATTATAATCACAAGTTTGCTTTATTTTGTTTTCTCTTCTCCCGTAACCACTCCCTCTTGCAATCTTCGTACGCTTTGTAGTAGTTTCTGCACTTACTGCTCTCGTAATTGTTGTCAGTGAGACATGTTAGGGAAGCCTCCATGGCCTGTTTACACGAGAATCCATCAATAAATTTGTGAGCGTTTGGGTTCATTCCAGGAGTATTGCCGTGGAATTTTGGACCACTCATCTTGAAATATCGTGATTTCGTGACTGATTGTAAGAGAGAACCCAAGTAAGGATCATATGCAAGGTGTCTCTTCCTTTTAGAGCCAAAATTCAACTTACATCATTCTGACTTCTGTCGTAAGCAGAATTTAAGATTGTGTGATCAATTCTTATCTTATTTTGTGCACAGCAGGAATCGCAACAAGTGCATGCGCAATGTACTGTGTTGTTTCCCGCCAAATTATCAAAATGCGTTGCTGATGAATGCAATCTGGTGCTCAAATGTTATTGAAGGGTTTACGTTTATCTAAATTTTCCACGATTGTAACTTTAATGTTTGTTGATCACTGAAGAAACTTTGAAAACGCAAACATGGTTCTTTTGAATAGTGGGAAAAGAAAGAAAGGAGATGCCGACGATGGCGAGGAAAGCAATAATTCACGATCGCGTTCAAGGTTAGTTCATATTCTCCATCTTGGACTTGGCATAATTGTACATTTCAAGTTTGTCTCTTTTGTAGTTCGTAGAGATCGTGAAAGTTTCATTTGATCGAAGATCAGTCAGAAAAATCGTGAGATTCACCAAGCTAAAATAACTTTACTTTCTACGATTGAGTGCTCTCCAGACCTGATGATCTCGGTGGTTCTACGGAAACAAGAGTCCTAAGGATTCAGACAAATGACACGCTGGATGTTAAGTATGGATTTGATCGCTACAAGGAGCCAGTAGATCGACTAGGATGGCTTATCAACATGCATCCAGTAAGCTAAGCAAGATCAATACATTTTTCTAAGAGCAATCGAAAATGTCATAAAATTTAAAGTACATGTACAACGTGATCAAACGTTCTTTGGACTAAAGTTGACTGACCAGTGGATGAGTTTGAATTGAAAGTGTAAAACATCGTTTCTTACCCCGATCTTTTATGGTAAGGATTTGTTTGCCTTTCAAAAACTCTCAAGTTGTTCATATTAGTTTTAATATAAGCATTTACATGGAAACAATATCTGTGCATTTCACATCGCACTGAAGTCAGAGGGGAGAAGCTGGGGTTATTTCAATTATTAGACTTGACAATTATTAGGTGTTTCAAAAAAGTGTTGTTCATCATTAATTTACTCCTGTGTTTTCTCAGACAGAGGTAATTGATGACGACAAGAAGCTAATCAGTGCTGTAGACCTCTATTTCATTCAAGATGATGGGGGACGATTTAGGGTGAGTAGTGTCTATTCGTCTGTGTATTATGTATTTAGGAAATCAGTCAGTCAGTCCATCAATCAGGCAGTTGAGTGGCACCTAATCTTGCTGCACATACAGATGGTCGGTTAGTCAATCAGTGGGTCAAATAGGCAGTGAGTCAGTTACACAGTCAGTTATACAGTCACTCAGGTATTCAATCAGTGAGTCAAAAAGACAGTGAGTCAAAAAGGCAGTGAGTCAGTTACACAGTCAGTTATACAGTCACTCAGGCAGTCAATCAGTGAGTCAGTCAGTCATTTGTTTACTCAATCATTCAGTCAGTCAGTCAGCCAGCAAGTCAGTGAGTGAGTGAATGAGTCGATGAGTCTGAGTCAATGAGTTTTTTAGTCAATGAGTAAGCCTGTGAGTGAACCAATGATTTTATCGTCATTTTACAGGTACCATTGCCGTACAAGCCTTATTTCTACATCCTTGCAAATAAGGTGAGTGTGCTTTTTAGGTCCATTTACTATCTGGTAAATGTCTCATCCTTGTCCAGCCATTCCATATGGCCACTCTTTAATTTATTCTTTAGAGCTAGAATCTTCTACTGCACTGAAAACCCTTTTAAACTTACATGTGTCTAATCTCAAATTTGTCTGAAATGTTAGGATACTGATCGAGAGGTCGCAACTTTCTTGAACAGAAAGTTTGGTGGATTGATAGCAAGCATAGAAACAGTGGCTAAGGAAGATCTAGATCTGGTAAGGCAAGGGTTTTTTTTTTCAACCTGACATCAGAATATTCTCCTTACTCTTCTCTAGACCTTTCCTTTGGAACTGAAAAGGAGAATTTCTTTAACAATCAAAGCTTCTTAGCTTGCAATAATTTTCTTTATTTTCACAAATGATTCTCTCTGAATGATTGAGCAATATTGCTTTAAGGAGATATTAGATGCTGGTCACTCTTGAGGTTTTTAGTGGAGGCGCGTTGGCCTCATGGTTGATGCGCTAGA